TGCTGCTGCTGCTGCTGCTGCTGTTGCTGCTGCACTCGCTCCTACAAAATCACCTGCAGCAAATGCTGCTGTTGGTGCTGCTGCTGCTGCACCAGCTACTGCTGCTTCGGTACTAGCAGGCAGAGACAAATCCTCAAGAAGAGACAAAAAAAAACAAGAGGAGACAGAGACAGCTGAGCTCAGCACGTTGTGTTGGCCCCACACAGCGGGGGCCCCCCCCCCAGTACCCATAACTCCCCCAACAGGAGACACGGGGGCCCCTGCAACGGCTTCGAGGTTCTCTAGCTCTTCTGCTGCCTGCTGCTGTTGCTGCTGCTGGTGCTGCTGCTGCCGCTGCACTGCAGCAGCAAGAAACGCTACTGGCGGAACTGTGCTGCTCTGCTGTACCCCCCCTGCAGCACCACCTTGGGGGCCCCTATCGTACCCTGGGGGCCCCCCACAAGGGGGGCCCCCCTCAGGGCTCCAGTGAACCGTACGAGAGGCTCTGCGGGGCCCCCCGCTGCCTTTTGCTGCTGCAGCAGCAGCAGCAGCAGCAGCAAAGGCTGCCTGCAGCGGAGTCTCCGCAGGTGGCGTGAACCCAGCAGCTGCTGCAGGCGACCCAGACAGACTAGCAGCAGCTTCCTCACCTGATGCAGCAGCAGCAGCAGCTGCTGCAGCAGCAGCAGCAGCAGCCGCTGCTGCTGCTGCTGTGGGGCCACCAGGAGAAGGTAGCTCCGCCTCACTAACAAGAAGATGAAGGCAAACAATGTGCAGCAGATCAACGCTCAGCAGCGCGACAAAACTCCTCGCAGGGGGCCCCCCTGGGGCCCCCATGGGGCCCCCTGGGGGCCCCCCATAGGGGCCCCCCTGGGGGCCCCCCTGGGCATAAGGCTGCATATCGAAGACGAGGGTACTGCAGATAGACTTGACTGCAGCAACAGTCTGCTGCCCTGCAGGCAACGAGGGGGCCCCATCGGGGCCCCCCATCCCCAGATCTGTGAGAGCTGGGGGCCCCTCCTCTACTAGCTTTATGCTGGGGGGCCCCTGCAGAAAGGCATTGACAGCAGCAGCACGGGGCCCCAGCTCAGAGAAGCAGTGAAGGCTGAGGGTACGGAGGGCCCCCAAGGAGGGGTCGTACCCCATCACGACTGCGCGGTACTCTCCTAGCAGCAGCAGCAGCAGATCAGGGGCCCCCATGGGGGCCCCCTGGGGCCCCCCATACTCTGATGAGCCAAGAAACTCCTCAGGGGTCAGGGGGCCCCGGGGGGCCCCCAGCTGTGCTGCTCTGCTGCAGGGGAGAACAGCAGCAGAGATTGCTGGGTAGTTGAGCTGTGTTTCACAGAGAAAGCGAAGGGGTAGATCGAGGGTACTGCTGCTGCTGTTATCATGGGGGCCCCCCTCGGGGGCCCCTTCCTGTTGGGGGCCCCCCAGGGGGCCCTTGGGGGCCCCCCCTTTTTCTGTTAAGATATATACCTTCACACTGCGGGGCAACAGCAACACCAGGCAGGGGCCCCCACCCTGTATAAGAGCAGCAAAGAGAACCTGATGCACGTGCGAGCCATCAGCTGCAACATCTATGAGGCCCTGGGCCCCCATCGTCAGTGGGGGGCCCCTGGAGGAGGCCCCTGAGCCGGGGGGCCCCCCGGGAGAAAACAGGGTACTGAAAGAGGCAGCTGAACTAGGGGGCCCCTGAGGCAGCGGGGGGCCCACGGAGACAGTGGGGGGGTCAGGGGGGCCCCCAGGGGCCCCTTGATATCGTGGAGAAGGGGGTGGGTCGGGGGGCCCCCAAGAAGGGGATCGTGGGGGCCCCCAGGGGTTTAGGAGTTAATATATATATATAGGGGGCCCCCTAAGTATAAATAGCTGCAGCAGAAGAGAATAAAGAAAATAAATGCAGCAGCTAACAACACAACAAAGGCACAGTCTGCTGCTGCAGCGCAGCAGCAGCAGCAGCACAACAGCCCCAAGAGGCCCCGAGATGCTGGGGGCCCCTGCAGGGGCCCCCAGCATCACTGTACCCTTTCTGCTCAACAGAGACAAACAAGAGAAATATAACAAAACGCATGCAAACTAAATTTATTATTTTTTTTATTGAGGGGGAATACACACACTCTAACGCCAAGACAACTCAGCACACAGCCACGACATCTGCTGCTGCTGCTGCTGCTGCTGCTGTTGCTGCTGCTGCTGCTGCGACGACAGCAGCGGCTGCCTCAGCAGCAGCAGCAGAAACCGAGGCAGCAGCTTCAGCAGCAACTGCAGCAGCAGCATATTGTTCAGGTGTATGCTCAGCTCGCGCATCTGCCGCCTGTCTCCATTGCTGCTGCGGGCCGCATAGCAGCAGCAGCAGCAGCAGCAGCAGCAGAAAGGAGACAATAGCTGCTGCTGCTGCTGCAGCACCAGCATAAGAGAAGTCAGCAGCTGCAGCAACAGCGGCAGAAGAGCAGCAGCTGCAACGGAAAAGGCGCAACAGCTGCTGCGACAGCAGCAGCAGCAGCAGCAGCAGCAGCAGCAGCAGCAGCAACTGAGGGCCTCGCAACAGCCCCCCGTCATCAGCTGCTTCTTCTATGCAGCAACGGAGATGCAGCAGCAGCAGCAGCAGCGGCTGCAGCCGCTGCCACCAGAACTAGATCCGCAGCAGCAGCAGCAGCAGCAGCAGCAGCAGCAGATGTTGTCGTTGTCTCAAGATGCGGAGGGACAACAGCAGCAGCAGCAGCAGCAGCAGCAGCAGCACAAACTGCAGCAGCAGCAACAACAGCAGCAGCAGTTGAACGGGAAGCTTCCTGCTCCTGTTCCTGCTGCTGCTGCTGCTGCTGCTGCTGCTGCTAAGACAGCTGAGTCTGTTGGGGGGCCCCTGCAGCAGATGGTGAGGGAGGTGCTGCAGCAGCAGCAGCAAACCGACATAGCCCTTCTAGCCGAGAGTCTGAAGTGTCTCGATGCTCACGGCTGGCAGCAGCAGCAGCAGCAGCAGCAGCAGCAGCAGCAGCAGCAGGAGCAGCAGCG